AAAGTGTGGACCACCGATTTCAGAAGACGTACACTCAGGATGTGCTTTAGTTTCGAGATGCGTCTTAGTTGGTAAAAACATGATTTAACTGTGTTATTGACCTGGGCATCCATCTTCAGAGCCTGGTCCATTTTTACTCCAAAGGTTGGAGATTACAGAGGATACATTAGGTGAGAGATAGTTGAGGTCAGGTTGTTGAGTTGCCGTGATACTGTAAGGACTGAAAACGATTAAGTCAGTTTTGGAGTCATTGAGATGGAGGAAGTTGTCAGCTAGCCATTGCTTGACCTCAAGGATACAATCAGACAGAACTTGCGTTGATTGAGTTGGCTTAAATGAAAAGTAGATTTGACAGTCGTCAGCGTAAAGATGGTATGAGACAGCGTGCTTTCTGAAAATGGCTCCTAAGGGCAGTATATAGAGGTTGAACAGTAACGGGCCGAGAATTGAACCTTATGGGACACCCCAACGTAGAGGCTGTGACTCTGATGAACAGCCGTCCAACATGACCCTAGCAGACCTGTTCCAAAAGTATGACCTAAACCAATCCAGGGCAGTGCCTGAAATGCCAGCCCAAGTGTGAAGTCTTGTGATCAAAATGTCATGATCGATCGTGTCGAATGCTGCAGATAGATCCAAAAGTACCAGAACCACATGGAAACCTGAATCTAAAGCCAGAAAAATGTCATTAAACACCCGAACGTGAGCAGTTTCAGTGCTGTGCTGTTGTCTAAAACGAGACTGACAGGTGTCCATTACCTGATATTCATTTAGATGGTTCACCAACTGTGCATAGACTACTTTCTCAAGGACCTTAGATAAAAACGGTAATTTGGAAATTGGTCGTAGATTAGAGTAATCGGTGGGATCGAGGCCGGGTTTTTTCAAGATTGGTTGTAGAACAGCGTGTTTAAAGGCACGAGGAACTTCAGCCAATGTCAAGCTACAGTTTATAATGCGTAGCACGTTATTGCTAATTAAAGGAAACACCTCTTTCAGGAGTCGAGGTGGGATAACATCATCTGGGGAGCCAGAGGGTTTCATGGCTGCAACAGTTTTTTCTAGACAGGCCAAAGAGATGGGCTGAAAGCTTTGAAGTTGCCCGTGAGAGGGGATAAATGAATCTGGAACATGGTTGGTTTGGTGAATCTGAGCTCTGATTACAGTAATCTTATTTAAGAAAAACTGCAGGATTTGGCTACACAAGTCAGCGGACACAGAGGAAAATAGATTTTGAACTGGGGAAAGCACTGCATTTATGGTTTTATATAACACACCTTGATTGTTTGAATTAGCCGTGACAATGCTGGCAAAAAATCGATTTCTCGCTCCTCTGACTACTTTTTGATACTGAGACCAAGCCTCTCTCATGGCCTCAAAGGATACAGTAAGCCTGTCTTTTATCCATTTACGTTCCAGTCTCCTGCAATTTCGTCTCATGGAACGAGTTTGTTCGTTCAGCCATGGGTCTGACTTGGATTTCTTTCGACTTGATTTTAATGGAGCGACAATATCCATAGCAGCCAGGCAGGATGAATCAAGCACATGAAGTGATCCCTCAACTACAGAAGACGCAATAGTAGAATCATATGGAGCTGCGTTCAGAGTAAGAACAGCGGCAAAATCTGCAGCAGTATTGGGTGTGATTACACGAGAGAAGCTGGGACGGAAATATTCAATAGGAGGGGCATAGTCCAATTTCAAGTTAAACAAAACTGGTGAGTGATCAGAAAAAGTTGCAGGTAAAATGCCAAGATCACAAAGGAAAGGAGCCTGATAGCTAAAAGATCTGCCTCCCATCCTATTTTTAGATATTCTGGGAACCACCAGTAAACCTGCATTACTCACCACTTCCAACAACCAGCGCAATTTATGTTCCCGTAACTTAATCTCTATGGTTATTCCCAAAGCTCGCACCTCCTTTGGCCACTCCTCATTCCAGTTTGCTGTTTCCAACGACTGGAATGAGCTGCTAAAACCATTGAAGCTCACTAACTACATTCCATTATCTACCTTCAATAATTCATTGTGATCAATAGTTTCTGATTAATGTGCTTCTGAGTACTTAACCCTTTGATGCATAATGGTCACTACAGTGGACAGGTACTCAAAATTGTTATTTATTTATTTTTGCTATTAAGCACAGCTGTTGAAGACTTTATTGCATGTGAGCCTCTCCAGTTGGACTTCAGTAAGGCAAGCCAACATATTTCATGTTCAGATTGCACGCTGTCCACTGAGATGGACATGTAATAAAGTATTTGTAAATTAACAAAATGTTACAAAAATATTTGTTGAAATTTGTTTAATTCACACCTAAAGATGAATGAAAAAAATTGTTTAAAAAATAATGGTTGAAGATCTCATAATTCATGCATCAGAGGGTTAAATACTGTTTTAAGTCTGTTTTGATTGCTTGTACATATTGTATATTATGAGAACGGTCCTTTATATCTAATTGTTTAATCTTATTTTGATCTTGTTTGTTTTTATCTGATCTGTTTTTCTTTGGTGTAAATCTAACTATGTGTCTGCTGCTGCCTCTTGGCCAGATCGTTGTTGTAAATGAGAATGAGTTCTCTATCCACTCATCTGGATAAATAAAGGTAAAAAATAAAATAAATTGTCTGCTCCACAGGTAACAATGTTTATCGTAATGTTTTTTTAAACTAGCAAAAGTCACGGTGATATGGTGTAAAACTACCCTGAAAAGTAACTACACACTGTAACTTTAAATGATTCATAAGCATTGATTTACACTAAAGAACACTGCAAATGTATTGAATAACAAGTAACACACACTTTTAATAAACTTTAATTAAATAATTAATGAATAAAAAATTTGTAGAAACAATCTTTTAAGAGCTGAAAGCATTCATCCAAATGAGAATATTAATAGAAATTCTTAAAATTATTCAGAAATCCCAGTAATTGTTAGCCTAGTGAACTAGACCAAATTCTTGCTTCACATACATAGTCTGGCTTGCCAGGTTAAGTAATTGTACTTTTTTCTTAAGAATTTCAGAACTCAGATATTGTAAAATATTTAGTGTTTATTTTTTTCTCTTGTGATTCTGAACTGGACTGTTCTCCACGTCCCGCCATTTTTTTGCCGGACTTGTTTGTTTTGTGTCCAGAAAGAGCAAGGCAGCTGTAAGAATAGTGGTTTTTATTGTGTGCCACTACTTTGGCCCCTTACCCTGAATATGTTATCTGAGGGTACAGCAGCGTGCCACATGAAGCTATGTGCATGTGACACATGGCTGAGCAGCATTCCTCCTCCTGAGTGCATTGCAGGGCACAGATAGCAGGAAAGCGATGGAGCCAACAGAGAGCAAGGAGAGCGGAGCTCGACAAGGAAACGACTGGACAAAACCCTCCACTCTCATCCGGTCCTCATAGCTTCATCTCGGGAAGTGTGTGGTAATTAGAATACTTATGAAGGTAGGGTAACAGCTGCAATATGTGGAAATAAATTATTCAAAGAAGAAATCTACGTATATATATATATATTTTTTTTTAATGGCTATTTGGAGTGAAAATGGTTATCTGACTTATACCATCCATCCATTTTCGGCCACATATCCGGGGTTGGGTCGCAGGGTCAGCAGCCTAAGCAGGAGGCCCAGACTTCCCTCTCCCCAGCCACTTGGAACAGCTCCTCCGGGGAATCCTAAGGCGTTCCCTGACAGCTGTGAGACATATTCTCTCCAGCGTGTCCTGGGTCTTCCTTAAGATCTCCTCCAGGTTGGACGTGCTCGGAAAACCTCGCCAGGGAGGCGTCTAGGAGGCATCCTTACCAGATGCCCGAGCCACCTCAACTGGCTCCTCTCGAGAGGCGGTTCTATTCCAATGTCCCCGTTTGTGAAGTCATAAAAGGGGACATTTTGAAGTTGCTTGTTTTACGCTCATAACTGCTAAAGCTAAACACTGACAGAAAACCAGTGGATGGTTTTTATTTATGTTTGAGTGTTTATGAAAGCAGGAGACCCACATGGCAGCACAAAATGATAGAAAAAGCAAGTTGTACCTAATATGTCCGCTTTTTTTTTTTGCTTTGACAGAAAAAAATGCTTCACAATGCAAATTAAAACCATTTCCATCATTCCTTTGATTTTAACAATGTCCATAACAGATACGAGATCACTTTAAGTTGATTTCAGTAGAAAATTACATCTCCTCTTATGAACAGGTGCTGTGCGTGTGCAGTTGTTGGCTCATCTGTTTCTCTAAACTGAGGTTGTTCAAAGAACTTTCTACAACAGATAAAATTTACTCTTCATAACATCCCCACTGACACAATTCAAAGGCTTTGAACTACTATTTAATCCATCCTTTTGATGCATTAATCAAATACTTTTTTCATTTCTTTTTTTGGATCGACTGGATGGCCCACTACTTGCATGCTTTCTACACTTACCTGCACAAACACACCTGGATGAAACTATTCAGCGATTTAGAGGCATTTTCAGTCAGTTATCACATTACAGGTCAGGATGTCCTATGGCAAAGGCTCACACTATCTCAGCTAATTGAAAGGGCTCCTGCAGCAGCCTGGAAACATTTCTACAGGAACAAAAGAAAATGGGACAACTAACCCAATCCTTTCTGTGAAACAAACTTCAAGAGCACAAAAAGCAACAGGTTGACCAATTACTTTATGAACCTAAACATGTCTGGGTCTGTTAGGTCTTAAGATGTTTCCTCTTCAGGAAACCAACTTTTCTCCATTCTGAGAACATTTCGTCCTCAGACCACATGGGAGTCCCAAATTTGTCATCGGGGTGGTCTGAAAGGACCTCGGGTGACAATTTAGAATTTCTTACAGGATTAATGGTTTGACTCTTAAAGGACAGAAACTTATATTTTAGGCCAGATCTGAAAGCATGAGCTAAGGCTGATGAAAATCTCATCAGCATTGTAGCTTTACGGAAGTGTGCAGCATTGAATGGTTCCTTCCCTCTGGGTTCCCACACAGCTGAAAATAAATTAGAAGCAGAACAGGTCTACAATAAAGCTTTATTTCATAATTCAAAATAAATCTAGCATCTCTGCAAACTACCGAAACACTCAGTCAGAAAAAGGTACACCTCTATTTACACCGATTGCAACAAATGCCAAGTAAGACACCGGGCAGTCAGCTTCAACAGAACCATGCAGGCACGGGCCCGACACGGTCTGGGCAGGAGCTGGACAGTCGAGGAGTGAGAAAATAAGTCAACATTTCTGAGCTGGACAGAACCGGGGGTTTTCTGAAGCTCGGTGAAGCTTTTAGAAGAGAACTGGGCATTTCTACATTGTAAACATTTGATGCATCAGCAAAAACAAAAACTATCCTGTCCTCACACAGAAGAGGAAAAACCAGGTAAACAAAATAAAATCATTCTGAGAAAACAAGACAATTTCCAACTGAGTGGATTGTAAATTTTATTAAAACAAATACACAACTGGAATGGATTGTTAAGAGGCATGAGGCAAAAAAAAAAGTGTCAAATATTAAAAAGCATGGCAAATAAGCCGTTTCTGTTGTAAATAGATCATTCAAAAGATTGTATGAGAACGGAAGAGATACACCCGTGTCCTTTAGTAGTGCAATGCTGAGAGAAGTCCATAAACACGCCGTCCATAGTCCATGCAGAGTTTAAATTCCTCCACACCGCTTCCATGTCAGTGTTGCCAAGTGTCAACCAGCTGACAAGTTTCCAATGTCGCCAGGCGTGGAGGGGCCCAAGCACCCCGCTCCCAGAGGCCTCCACAAGCACCTGGCGGTTCTAACGGTCTGCCGCTCTCAAACACCGTGACAGGAAAAAGAAAAGGAGATGGGGACAAGAGCCTACGCAGTTTACATGCAGTTCCTTTGGACAGCAGAGGGGCAGGAACAAATGGGGCTATTAAGATTTTACAGAAATTACACAAAGAAAAAAGGCAAATTATACAAAATCTGTACAAGGCATTCACTTTGCCGTCATCATTTGTACAAACTCTGTGGGGAGAAGAAAAACACAGTCAGGTTTCAAGATTAGCTTACAAACAAAGACATGAAACAAAAACCAAACTAACCTTCATAATTGACCTGCCCGTCTCCATCAATGTCCGCTTCTCTGATCATCTCGTCCACTTCCTCATCAGTCAGCTTCTCTCCGAGGTTAGTCATCACATGACGCAGCTCAGCAGCGCTAATATACCCGTTACCATCCTGAAAATCAGGTCATTAGTACACCTGAAGTGCTCTGGGTAAACCTTTGGGCTGCAGACGGCATTTACCTTGTCAAAGACACGGAAGGCTTCTCTGATCTCCTCCTCGCTGTCTGTGTCCTTCATCTTCCTGGCCATCATAGTGAGGAACTCAGGGAAGTCTATCGTTCCATTTCCTGAAGAGAACACCATTGAGGGATGCTACCTCCAGCACAGCAGAGTGTGTGTGTGTTAAAATGAAACCAGCACTCACCATCAGCATCCACTTCATTAATCATGTCCTGCAGCTCTGCCTCTGTTGGGTTCTGACCCAGGGAGCGCATAACAGTACCCAGCTCTTTAGTTGTGATGGTGCCGTCTCCATCCTTGTCAAATAGTGAAAAGGCCTCCTTGAATTCTGATTGTAACAAAGAAATATTAGTTTAGTGTCACCGAGATGCTACAGCTGACAGATTTAAACCCAAAAGTAGTCAAAAGATAAAATGAAACACTAGCTGAACTAACTCGATGTGTCAGGGTAAGAGGACAGAAGCCACAGTGTTAATCAGCAGCTTTCAGATTGGTCCAGATGAACACATTAAACACCAGAAGCTGAAAAAAGCTTTTATAATGTTTAAATCCAACAAGCTTCTATTTTAAGTGTTTGAGTAAAAAATTAAATCACATCAGAAAGTATTAGTTTGGGTACAAACAGAGTTTCTCCTAAATCAGCCTCAATATTTTAAATCTTAAATAAAAATGCATCCTTCACCACCCTTTACGCCACTGTTAGCTTAGGATAACAGATTTGCGTTTTGACACGTCACCATTAGCAGCAGAAAACTAGGCAATTCTTCCATCGTCCTTCTCAAGGACCCATATCCAAAGTAACTGCTGCCGTCTTGACCACTTAGCGGTTCTAGGATGTACAAACCTTTACACTGCTGCTGTTTAATGTTAATTACATCAATTTTAAGCATTTGTGCACATCTCACAAAAACTAGGCACATTCGCAAGCTGCAATATAAGAGTAACCAGTAGGTGGAGTTGGCCAACGAGAGAGACATGCTTGCCATGGTTACCCCATCTCTGGTTTAGAGGAGTTTATACGGTTGCGTTTTTTTCTGTCATGATCTCAAAATTAACCAGACAGGCCCAAACGCAATACTTGCACCCTTCAATTGCACGATCCCAGAGGGGTGCGACTGAGTAAGGTGTGCGGACCCTTTAACTGCGCTTCACCCAAGTCTGATTGTGGGATTACCCACAATCCATTGCTGCAGGAGAAAAGGCTCAAGTGCTTTCTCTGAAAATATGCATCTTCAAATAAGCATTTCATTTTAGGACGATTATCTTACACTCTAGAAGTTTTAAACAGCAAAATAGTAGCACAGGGACCAGCAAGTGGTTGATGATGCAATGCTCCACGTTGCAATTCGGCAATTTGCACATTTGTGTACTTTACACTCAAAGCCTTGCTGCACACTTCCTCCAAGTGCACTTCAAAGACCATAGGGTGCAGTGCAGATTGGGCCACTGATCTCCATCAACACCATGATTCTTTTGGCTTTACTTTACAAACCTGGAACTATTAGGTCTGCGTTCTCCATGTTTCGTAGTAGAACAGTACACTAGTACTACATGCAGCAGCAGGTATGCAAGATGCAGCCTTTGTCCACATGAAGTTGCCACAGACTGAAGTGTTTTCCCAGCATTAAGAAGTAGCCAACCTTCAGATAAGTTATTTTATACAAGAAAGACTAAAATGTGAACTAAAAGGCCACACCATTTTCCTGAGCACAAGGCCTGCATCCTTGTCAGCTTCCAGGAATTTACACAATTATTCTTGATGACTTCCACTTTAAAAGCTCTCACTGTCAACTTTAAACCATAACATGAGCATCGACCATGAAATTTTGCATCATATTTGACAATCTAGATTAATAAATGCAAGCATCCAGGCACACTTCATTATGCACCGAGCCATTCCGCTTGCATAATTTACAACATCCACACCTCATCTTCGCATACCAAATTCTAGCCCCGGTTGCTACTGCAGTTCTTGTAAAACAGCACGATAACGCCACACCCAGGGCAAAGGACAGCATGTAAACAGAGGACTGCCAACACCTTAGAACTCAGCCCCATTACATGACATCATTTATGGCGTGGCCACCATGAAAATGCAAAGCTTTCAGCGCAGGAGTCGGTTGGGAGGCTCCAGAGGACAGCAAGGCTACAGCAGTTTCCTTCATTCCAGCTTTATGACCGGCAGGCTGCCCGCAGGGATGCCTTAAAAGGCAAAAGTGTAAATCCACAGCACGGAAAGCAAGGATCCGAAAATCAGGCCACTTAAAAGGTTGTGAGGAAGTTAAAACCAATGCAGCCATGTCTTACCTGCAATTTGTTCCTCTGTGAGCTGATCAGCCTGTAAAACAAGAATCAAGTCCCATTAACAGCATGTCACGTGGTTAAAATATTCAAGACTGACCATTTACAATCAACCCTACATATTTATGTACGAAATTAAGTCTCAACAGTACCAACATAAAACGGAAGTCATTTCCACCGGCTTTGCCCCTCTTTCTAAATAGGAAGTGAGCAAAAAATGCTAACGCAAGAGCGACGAGCAGCCTCCTTTTGCATTACTGCGATGAATGCACCTCAGCGCAGCCAGAAACAACTTATTAAACGCAATTGGTGGAAACCCTTAGCTGGGAAGAGCTCGTGTTAATCTTCAGGGGGGTTGTTTAGACGAGGCTACATTATCCCAGCTAGAAGACCTACCAGCTAGCATGCTCATCTGTAAGAACGCAAAGCGATTAAAATGTCTGAGTAAGCAAGCCCAACTCAGTTAAATATTCTTTACACGCTTTAAATTATTCACTTAAACCGTTTGAAACGCGTTACCGCGAGCATTTCTCCTAACTGTTCCGCTTCCCCGACCGATGGTCTACGGAGCAGCACCGGAGTAGACCACGAGCGGTTGCTGACCGGTGTTTAGTTTTGTTAAAACCAGAAAACATCGTAGGTAAAAGCAAAATGTGCTTTCGTTCCCCTTACCATTTCTACGAGGACGAGTAGCCACTCCGCTAAAGAAATCCGCTGAGAGAAAACTCGACACCTCCGAACAAAACCGAGAAGCAGAGCGAGCACACTGAGCGGGAGGCGACCGGGCTCGCCTTTAACACCCGTCTCAAAACCCCTCCTCCTCCTCGTATCCTTCCGCCAGCTCGCTTTCCTTTTGCTCGCTCGGTTCTTTTGAACGACTTTTTCTTTTAAAAAATTACACGGAAAAAAATTCAGAATAAAAACACACTCAACAATGTAGTGTTAGGCGTGCAGGTGGAATCAATCACGTCGCTGCCGGACTACCTAACGGCGCATGAATACGTTCTGCTACGCTGTGATGGAAATACAAAACGTAGCGGAAGAAATGGCGCTCTCTGATTGGTGCGTTTGTACCTGCAATGCGTCACTCCACGTGGTCTGCGCTGTAGCTGCATCTCCGGCACCGATACAGGCTCGTCATAGGGCTTGTTGCTTGTGTTCACATGTGGGCATCACCCAGGAAGGTTCAACAGGATGCTTTCGCTTCTACTCACACACTTTGGTACTTTTAATTGTACATTGTTGACATATAATTTTGTATATCTACTATTAGTGATACTTTTTAGCGTCATATCTGGTATTTAACAACTGTTTTACAAATACAAAACTGACTTCTGAAGTCTAATTGTGCCTGACTTACTTATACCACTCCAGTGTCCCAGAGACCAGCTGGGCCTTCACCCCGGTGAGAAGATGGTGGACAGGGACACAGAAATAAGTGTTTGACTGAATGAGACAGTATCTCATCCTCCTGTTTTCATCTCAGAGAACATCTCTCTCTCTCTCTCTCTCTCTCTCTCTCTCTCTCTCTCTCTCTCTCTCTCTCTCTCTCTCTCACTCTCTCTCACACACACACACAAACACACACACACATGCACATGGACAATAAATACAAAGTTAGTGTTCCCACCTGTAACATTCACAGAGTGCAAGTGTAACATTTTTGTGTGTGTCTTCATTCTTAAAATGTCCATGGAAACTGGCCATGAGATTTTGCACAAGTTGAACAAAATAAATATACCTCCATCGTTTTCCAACGTAAGATGACTTTAGCTTAAAACGCTGACATTTAAGGCAGCAGGAAATGCCTCCAAGGGACGCTGGGCCTTTCATTTACATCGGTTTTTCTGCTGTGGGCTTGTTGGCAGAGAACAAATAGTGAAAAACTTGAGGGGACAACACAAAGGTTCTAAATCTGTCACAAGAGCCAGATAAGCTGCAGCGAGTGCAAACGTGTGCAAATTCACGTTTGCCTCACTGAGTTCATTCATAGTTTCTAAAGCCACCCAGATAAACCTTAAAATCATCATTTGTTTGTGCTCCTGAAATACGCACAGCTTTCAAAGGATAGGTCAAAGGTCAATGTAGGCCCGCTGGACTATAGAACTAGTTCCATTCTGTCAAGCTGCCATAGGTTAGGCTGCCTTTAATTATTATTTTGGCATCATTGATGATAATTTTATATGTGTGTATTAATTAAACATGACGTGAGCGTGCACGTGTGCTCATTTCCTCTCTTTGTCGTTCTGCAAACATGAACCTGCCTCTCATAATTCATCTTTATCAGACACTGCTCAACTCGGACTGTAATTAAAAACCTCAGGTTGTTTTCTGTCAGAGCAGAGGCGAAGCTGAAATCAGCTCTCCATCTTCATCGACACCGCCTCTCATCAGCTTTCGATGTTCCTGCTGCTAGTAAACATTAGCATACCTTGTGGACCAGTTATTTTTGGCAGTGGTGGGGAATCGGCGCAGCACGTGACACGCACATTGCGTTGAAATTGTGTAATCGTGTTCTGAAACAAAGCTGCTTCTAAGCAAAGAAGAAAAAAGGAGCTCATTTTGTTCTAAAGCGGCACGTGAGCACTTTGAGGGATTTGGCGCCGTTGGCAGACAGGAGCTGTTTACCTGTGTAACCGAAGGACGGGGGCGGTCTAATTAATGAATGAGGATTTGTAATGCACCTGCCAGCTCCATGCCATGTGAGTGGATCGCTTTTCACCAGAGACAATAGCTGTTGTTTGTCTCGCCGGGGAAATTAAAGCTGGAGGTGAAAAGAGCTTTGCCTTCTTGGAGTGCAGATCGGCGTCTGTTACGAGCGTGCTTGATGATCTGCATCGCTGTATAAGTGGGATTCGTCTGCACACACACTAAGTGGAAAAAGTTGTGTTCATGTGTGCCTTTTGTATAAGCCACGTGTAACTAGTCGTATTACCTCCCAACTTACCAGCTGGCCTTTTAGCCCAGACTCTGGATAAAGTTTAGAACCTCTGGACTGTTAGCATTAGCACACGTTCTGGCCTTCCAATCAGGGAGGAAATATACTAACTCTCTAATTTTGCCAATGAAATAACTGAAGTTCGATCAAATAATTTGCACATATCTGCTTTTTTTATCATGTTGTGATGAAATGCATTTAACAAAAAAACTGTGACTTCCATCCTTGAGTATTTCCAGACTTGTCTGGTGATTTTCGGAGCAAACTGCTAATAAACTGTTGCTTTTTCAGCTTTTTCGTTCCTCCTGTCCTCACCGTCTCTGCTGCTAACCTGCTGTCCTTCTTCCCTCCACTCCCTCTCCCCTCCCTGGCCTGCCTCCAGTTAGTCTGCTGCAGTCAGTGTGCAGCAGGAGTTCAAACGCCGCAGCCCACCACTTCTCCTTGGAGCCTTCCAGAAATGTGACACCACAAATTTCCCAGCAAAGGTGCTTTCACTGGTGGCTCTACCTCTGTCCATCATAAGATAATGTTGGTTCATATCTTCGGGGTTCCAGAAGTTTGCTTTATGGTGAATTCAGAAAAAGTGAAACCAAAGCAACAGATGTGCATGCGTGTAAGTGTGTGCTGATTTTTGTGAGTAACAACAGCGAGTTAGTGACGGGGTCATGGTGTTCTGGATGCTCCTGACTCCTTGACCCTGTTTAGTGCGCAGACCAGGTCTGGGTCTGCAGTGCAGCCCTGCAGGGCCTCTGCTCTCCGCAGCCTCGTTCTGCGGGAGTCAGCAAGCTTCACTGCAGGCTGCTGCCACTTCAGATGAAGGCTGCAGAGCCATTCCCAATCAAACGTGTAGACACTTTAATTTATGTGTCTGAGAGGGTTATGGCTCCGGTACACTCCTCTAACTGAAACGTAATGAGCTCTTCTCCTGAGGAAACCAGCGGCGACCCCTGGTGGCCGCACAACAAACTTCAGGGTGTTGAAAAAGCAAATGTCAGATTGCAAAACAATTTGCTGTTTTGTTGGGAAATAATAATAATAATAATAATAATAATAATAATAATAATAATAATAATTACAACAACAATGAAAAGAACTAAAACACTTTTGTTGATCTTCATATGAAATAGAGTGCTGAGATTCTTACGATATTTTTATTTAAAATTAACATTTATTTTTACTTTAAGCGTATTAAGAAGGAAAAGTTATAAATAATTACTCTCTGCCTCCCGAATAGCCTCTGTTCAGAGAAAATTGTTTGCATCTTACAGGACTGAGGAGCTAACGGCTAGTTTAAATCAGTCGTCCCACATCTCATTGCACTAAATGACTTTTACAAAGAAATGTATTAATGAAAATGTACAAATATGAACATCTTTGATTAAATAATCATCTGATGCGAAACGGATGGTGGCACGTAGATTTGTAAAATAACATTAGCAGAGGGAATTTAAGAGATTGGAGCAGTTTTAGGTTTAGCTTATCAGTTAGGTAAGATGTAAACTCCATGCCCGTTTACGCAGTTGGATAATTTTACTGGACCTTCATGGTATGCACATGTCTCAATCCAAAAGAACCATTTTCTGGGCTATTTCAGAAAACACCAGAACTGAACTGGGGTGTGTATTGGAAAAGGCCGGGTAGGGTTGCTGGGCGGGACTTGTGGTTAAATTGTGCTGATTGGTTGTAAATCAAAAGGAAGTGACGTCAGGAGACGTTGCCAAATTTGTAAAATTTGAAAAGTTGCTGGTGAAGCGGAACGGAAATGAAAAGAAGCAGTGTTTATGTTGATTAAAAACAATCGTTTCTAAGCTTCTAGCATCTAAAAATGCAGCATAAATGCCACAATGTGGGCCGCGTTCTGGCCTCTGACAGAACTCTGAAACACTTCGCTGGTTATGGTCATTCAGCGCAACCTTGTACACACACAGCTGCTGTCCTGGTCCCTCGAAATGATGAAATGAAGGCCTGTTCTGACAAATAAAACTGTTGATGTTACTACCGTAAATCATCTAATACAGGCCCGGGCTTGTATTTGACTCAAGCTCATCAAGCTCCAGGCCTTTATTGGAAGGAGGACCAGAATTAGAGGCAGGCTTCTATTTCTATTTGAGCAAAATGAACTAATGGTTCGCTGGAGTTTTTGACAATTAAAATTGTGCCCACATTTTCAAAGTTAAACACATTTCTTTTAACAACGGAAGTTTCTGCTTCAGCCCTCTCCCCCCTCCCCCGCGCAGCAGCCGCAAACTCACTGATGCGCCTGCAGCCTCTCGGAGTTCCTGCTGCTCTAAACATTAAAATAATTATTTCATTTTCTGTTCCTCAATTCTGATGACCTTCAATGGTGTCTGTTTGTTGCAACCACCAGGTACAAAAACTAACTTGTTTTTATTTGACTATTATTTCTAGGAGCTCGCTCCCCCAAAACCCTTCTGCCCTCTGGTGGAGGATGTCAGTACTGAAGATGGCAAGTGTCAATTTTATTCATTTATCTTGCTGTTATTAAAATATAATATATAATCATATAAGTAATACATCATTAATAGATAATTAATTGTTTAAAAGGAGAAAACTTTGATTGTTTCATGTTTTTGGCTTTCAGTGGATAGAACCGTTCAGTTCTCAGTTTGATGATCAGCATTAGCAACTAGCATGAGCCGAATTCAGTATCTAGTGAGCGTAGTGGATTACATGATTTACCCAGTTTACACTGGTTGGATCAGAAATGGACTGAAAACAAGCTTTTCTTTATTGTAATTGTTTTTATTAGAAACAATAGAGGTAGGACTTTGTTTCAGACCCTTTTTGCTTACAGACAAACAAAAACTTTTGGTTTCCGACACAACACAAATGTGGGGAAACAGAATCTGAGTTCCTCTTCCTCTGCCTGTCCTAGAACAGGTGAGCTCACCTGGCCGACGTGTTTAACCTGCTGTTTGTAGGTGTGGTCGTTTAAGAAGCTGACAGGTAGTGAGATTGTTTTCTGCAGCAAATAAATGTATTCGGACAAAATAGTCAGAGTCTGAAATAAAATGATGTTTTATCATGTTCTTGTTTAGCTGCTGGTCCCGTTTTATTCTGACGCTGATGGGTTTAATTATCTGGAGCTCAGTCAGAGTGAGAAAAGGTTTTATTTCCTTTGCACCGAAGGATTTCAGATTATTGTTTTTATTTTGTATTTATATTTTTTACATTGATTCCATTAATTTATTTATTTTCCACAGTTTGTTGTAATTGTTTAGTTAGGTCATTAGTTATTTAGCAGGGCGACGGTGGTAGAGGAGTTAAGTGTTGGCCCCATGACTGGAGGGTTGCAGGTTTGAGCTCCATCTGCTGCAGTTGCCTTTGGGCAAGACAAGTAACCCAACTTGCCTGCCGGTGGTCGCCGGGGCTTGGCAGCCTCGCCTCCATCAGTGCACCTCAGGGTCGCTGTGGCGACATTGTAGTTGTAAAGCTCCTTGGGGGGCTGTAGAACCCTGGAAGGTGCTACATCACATACGGGCCATTAGCAGCCCCCTGCTCCTCAGGGTTGGGTTAAACACAGAGAAAAAATCTCCCCAAGGGAATCAGCTAAGTATCAGTCAATAAACGAATCATTTAACAGAACCAGACAAACTTCAGATGTCACTCAGGGACAAAATAAATAGGAGTCATGAGACAACAGAGGCTTGTATTGTTCGTGATAGTGGTCGGACAGATTATCGGAGGCGCTGCCTGGGTGTGATGTTGTCTATGATCCGAGGGCTGCTGTGGGTCACGTACTGCAGAGACGGGTCTGAGTAGTTGAATGGTGGAGGGTTGCACTTTTCCTGAATGTAGTCTGGCATCATGTCGGGAAGGCTGGAATGAAATCAAACCGAACAAGACCATGAGGAGACAGGAGGAAACAAACAAATCCCAACTGGTGACCAATCGGGAGGCTTCAAAATGTTTTACGAGTCTGTAACCGGTTCATCCTTCATGGTAAAATCAGTCTAGCGTCTGTGAGTGCTGCTCTTCACTCTGGGTGGTTGTCTTTAGTTCTCCAGACTGATGTCAGCTGGGAGCAACGATAGGAGGCTAATTTATGAAAACGTTTGGGTCTGGTTCACTAAAGGCAGCAAAACGAGGACAAGCAGCAAGGGGTTAAATGTCTCTGAGGTCAGATAACACCTGATCCAGGTGCCACACACACACGCACACACACACACACACACACACACACACACACACACACACACACACGCATACACACACATGCACACACTCACACACACACACACACACACACGCACACACACGCACACAAAATAAAATATAAACTTGACTTTATTTCTAATTTAATTTTTAGAAATAAAAAACTGATTTAGTGTTTAAAATCTGTCAATTTAAAATAAAATGTACCTGTATCAACATCACTTTCTCCTGCAGTCAACAAACAACTATCTTCCATTCTGAAATGATCGCCAAGGATAATAAATATAATTTCCATGAATAAAAATTCAAACACCGTCAGACAGAAGAGGCTGTGGTCTCTCTCTCTCCCCTCACTCTCTTCATAACTGACAGATTTCATCTCTGGACATGTAATGATAATAATGATAAAATAATAATAATAATAATAACAACAATAATAAGTTTTATCTCTTAACAACTACTCGAAGACACTTGACTGATCAGGAAACAAAACAAATAGGTTAAATACGTAAACTGAACGGCGAACGTCTGATGGTTGTGAGGGTTGTTCCCGCCCCTCTTCCTACGTCTGCTCCATCTTTAGGTTCAGCCCTCAGGTTACAGCGATGCATAACTCACATCAGAGCTGTTAGCAGAAGGCTTTTATTTAGGGAAGTAAGAGATTGGACCGCTTGTCCTCCCACTGAGACATTAGAAGGATGAAGAAGCTGCTGCAGCAGCGAAACTGTGGACCGGATTTACTGCCTCTCCATGTTTGCCCAGACCCATTTGATTATGGTTGCTTAAAATTCTGCTGTGTGTGGATTTGTTCTCTTCTGCAGTTTATTTTGTGATCATCTGCAGTGAACAGTACGTCACCCTGCCCAGAGGAACAGCTGACGCACCAACAAATAGGGTTTTATTTAAAGCAACACTTAAGAGTTTTTATATTGCTTTCAAACTGTTTCAGTGGTTTTTCATCCATAAAAGTGAGCAACTTCACTCTGCAGCCCTCTGCTGATCAGAAGGAAGGCAAAAAAGGCCCAGAGGAGTCTGTATCGACACGGAGAAGTCAGCTGGAGGAGAAGGTAGCTTCAGACGGCAGGTTTTAGACTCTTATTTCCTGATATCTGGATATCTCTCCTCCGATTGGCTAACAGCAACAAGACTCTACCACTGATTCTGTCTGCTCTGCAATGTTGATGTTTTATCTCCACCCATAACACAAGACTGGAGGAGTTCTGCTGTGTGGTGGAGTTGCTAATGCTAACAGTTAGCTTCTACTAGCCGAGACGTTCTCTGCTGTTTCCTGGATGCTAAACCAACAACAGCCTTCCCCGTCACGAGCCAAAGTGGGTGACGCCATGAATGTTAGTGACAGTGTGACGTAGATCTGTCGGGCTTTTCTAATCCTAGAACTTCACCGTCTATTTTCTATCAGAAGCTAATGCAGGAGACAGGTGTAGGAGACTATTTTCATGTTCAGCCTGCATGAAACACTCGGATTAGAATTTGTCGGTTTTCCTTACTCTCCAGTAATGGTCTTCCTGCTGCAACAGATGCAGGCCAGTGCAGCCAGGAGAAGGAGGATGAGCAAAGGAATGCCGATACCCAGAACCAAACCCAGAACAAGGTTCCTTTGTGTACCTGTAGCCTCCACTCTGTCTGCAAAGACCCACAAAGAAGACATAAGGTCAAAGAGGGTCAAAAGGGAAAACACAAAACTAAACTAACGATCTTTGTTTAATCTATCTGCTTTAAGAGAAATAAACAATACAAATGAGTGAAAACGTTCTAGTGGAATGCTCACCAACAACACAGGACTGGGATCCGTGCACATCAGCTGTGTCATTGCAAACACACCTGTAGCCACCATAGGTGTTCATGCAAAGGGCCATGAAGCCACACTGTGCTTCCTTGGCCCTACATTCATCCACATCTGTGTGCAAAGAGCAGCAGTACTAATATCAGCTCTCATCGTCTTCAGCATATATAAATACTTCATGATTGCACACCAACAGCATATTACGGCTTCTTACAAAAGATGCTTGTCAAGATTTAGACACAAAATTCCTCTCACAAAAATAAATCTCAGTAGGCTCCTTCCCGACAGTTTCAGTACTTTCCAGAATGAGTCGTTTAGGGCTAGTGCTGTCCACGCCCACCCACCCCCTGATTGGCTGCTGTGAGGCGGGGAGCTCGGTTAGCTCGGTTACACAGTTGTGACGTCACAATAGAGGAGTTCGTTTTAGTAATTCCTGAAACCAAACACTGATAGAAAACCATTTTTATGACCTAGACTCAAAATGAATAAAGCATTGTTTTTACCATCCACGTCCAGAGAGTTGATATTGTAGTAGCTGGAGACTCTGGTCAGATAGTCCCTGATGTACCAGTGCGGTGTGTCACTAGACACAGCAACACGATATTCTTCCACGTCTGGACCAGATGCTCCTCCTCCTCCTCCTCGATCCTTTTGGGTGGTGTTGTAGAACTTGTTACTGAAACCACTTGTCAGGATGTCTCGTAGCTGAAAAAGGGGATTAGAAGACGATCCCGTTACAGTTTACTGTTATTGTTATCGTCACCCGGAGACCAGACCGCACAGCACCTCTGTGAGACCGTTAATTCCTTTGTTCTTCCAGGTCAGAGTGACGTTGAACATGTTGTATCCTATGAAAAAAGAAACACAATGAGCTTGTTTTACCAGAACTGAGCTGCGGATGTATATCGATGCTCTTACCTGGAGGATTGGGAGAGTCACCTACAGGAAAACACAATTACAGTGGTGGGAATTACAAGATTCAGATGGATCACGGTGGTGAGACGTATTCATAGTAAATAATATTTACTGTTTCTATAAACGCTCACGCTAATGAAACAATTCTTTAACTTATTCGAGCCCAAGCATGAATTCATCTACAGCTGAGAAACGATGAGCACAGCCGTCAGAGGCACTTGTAGACCTGCTGCTGCTTTATGACCCAGTTTGGTCCAATTAGCTGTGAGACAGATGGACTCACATCAAACTCTAGAGCACTGTTGTCACTTAGTGACTGCAAAGGGCCCAAACCATCAACACTCCACCACCATGCGGACAACAGGTACAAGCTGTTTGGTTCAACCGAAGCTTGGAGCAATGCATTATGGGTGAACCTCTCTACTTTGGTCTCGTTGTTCCAGAAGTCTTCTGCTTTATTCAGCTCAAACATCACCAGCCTAATTCTGCAGGGGCCATTTTATCCACCTTCCCATTCATTTTCTCTCTCCCTTTCCTGACATTTTTTAATAACAATATTTTATTTTTTCCTCATTTAAAACATATTTTTAAGAATTTCTTAATATCTTTTTCATGTTTTATACTTAAATTTTTTTCTGTTTTTGTGAAGCTCCTCGTGTTTCTTATCTCAATATAAAAGATTGTTTTCTTTCTTTCAAGCCAAACTAGTTTAGTGTTTTTTTCCTTCATGAACTTTAACCCTCTGGAGGCAGGCGTTGCAGATTAGCAACGTTAAAACCCACCTACCTGGTTACTCCACATACGTATTTCATGAGCATTTTTAACTCAGAAGTTCCCCTGAAGGACTTAGTTGTTTGTCCTTTTATCAAAACGTATTGATAAAAATAACCTCTGTGACCCTGCAGATACCTACACTTCCAACCAACGACCCATGAGAATATTTGACTTTTAATGATGGGTTGGTTGTAATTTACAGTGATTCTGTTTTTTCATGCTGCTATTGTCCTGTTCATAATATCAATCAACATGTCGATCAGTACGATCAGAATGTCAGTCAGCGCAGCATTTATCTTTTATATCTTTTAAATTATTCAGCTTTTTTACTCTTTCTACTAACGTGTGTATGGCTCCCTAAAGGGAAGGTTATGTTTTGTTTTTTTTTACTCTTCATGTTTTTATCATTCTACTTGTGGTCTTACTGCCCTTTAAGCTGAGAGCTACCAATCAAATCTTGTTATGTGGATGCATAATGACAATAAAGAATTCAATCCAATTCAATTTGAGCCTGAGAGGGTTAACCCAGTGCTTAATTTGTAAATCAAACGTTCCCAGAATGCAAATGCTGACGTCATCCCGAAGTTCACTAAAGGCAAAACAGATGCCGGATCACGCACGGGGGTGGGGGTAGGGGTTTCAACAATTAAAAATGCGCCCACATTTTCTAAGTTAAACACATCTTTTTTAACATCGGTAGTTTCTGCATCTTCACTGCTCCGCTTCAGCCCCCTCCCCCCTCCCCCTGCGCAGCGGCCGCAAACTCACTGATGCGCCTGCAGCCTCTCAGAGTTCCTGCTGCTCTAAACATTAAAATAATTATTTCATTTTCTGTTCCTCACTTCTGATTACCTTCAGTGGTGTCTGTTTGTTGCAACCACCAGGTACAAAAACTAACTTGTTTTATTTGACTTTTTCTGTCCTGTTTCTGTTTATTATCTTCCTGCATCTCCTCTCAATCCTAAAGAAAAACTGCTACCTGGCTTCATATATATTCACCTTATGAGTTACCTTTGAAGTACAGCTCTAAAACATCTACCGACCGCAAAAACAGCCGAGTGCGCGCTGACCGCACCGGTGAGGTGCGTCACCGGAGGACAAAACAGGTGATGCGCTCCGCTCCACAGCAGCGAAACGCATCAGGCACAAAGAAAAGACAGTAAACATAAAAGGAAATGAGCCGACGTGAACGATCGGGTGTTAATTTTGTTTTTGAGACGGCGACACCTGATTTGATAATGTTACTGTGGCCGTGCTCAGGATGCAGATGTCTGGAGCAACGATCAGAGCTCTGCGCCTCTCAGCTCAAAATAATCCTCGGAGAGTCCACATAGATAATGTAATATAAGTAGAATCAGGATCTTTTTCGGGCTTCCCCTGGGTGTGGAAGCTGAGGGCTTCCAGGGGAGCCTGTCATCCTTTGGAGTGAGCCGGGGTCCCTTCAGCTCACCCGTAATTCGAACCCTGCGTACAGCACAAATTGGTCGCGTGAGTTGCTGGATCCTAGCAGACAGTTGCCGGAACGGTCCTTTCAAAATAAGACGGTTCCCGGATCTTGTTTTGGCAAGATCCGGCTCAAATTAAACCCTGGGTTAACCTTTAGGCTGAGGAGGCAAGTAGAGTCTGAGATGGAGCTGTTTGTTGGGTTTCATCGGATCTTGAGGTAAACTTATCAGAACGTGGATGTTTTCCACTTGTGAAAAATATTTCCCTCTTTAGAACAAAAAACACCAAATTGTTTGGAAATGGCCTTTAATCTTCCCTGATCAAGGTCACTGCTGATGCCTTTCCTCTTTGGCGTTGTGCTAACACACGCCTGTATGCTCCAGACCACCTGGGGTTGTTTGTGCTTTCACACCTGAGGTAAGATTTAAATCATCCTTAAACCTGGAAGAGACCAGATTGTTTTTTACAACATAACCGAAGGAGCAGACCTTCCTTTAGCCCAAAACTTCTGCAAACTCCACCTGAAGGGAAACGGTTTGTCCAGCAACGCTGAAGTTCAACGTGCACACTCACCACATCCTTGACTATCCTTAGAGTTCTGATATCTGCAGATGCATTCAAATGATCCGGCTTGGTTCTTACACTCATACTTGGCATTTGCACAGGACTCGGGCTTCGTACATTCATTTATATCTGGAACGCAGGAGAAGGCATCAGTATGTAAATACATTATCATCCATATGCAAATACGGTGTTGCCACCACCTGTGCAGTTGTGTCCGTCTCCAGTGAAGCCCGGCTTGCAAGTGCAACTGTGGTTTAGTTTTGTGCTCCGGCATTCAGCATCTTTGTGGCAGGGGAAAGGAAACAGGGGGCCACACACGTCTGAGGAGAAACAAGACCGATGACGGCTGTGGTTTAGGTTATGATCTGGTAGCAATAAAAAGATAAGCCCGGGTGAAACAAACCGTGGTCAAAGCATTTGTATCCCTCAATGCCGTTAGTGATAGTATTAGCAGGACACTGGCCGCAGGTGAACTGGCCAGACTGGGAGTTGCACTGCACCCCTCGAAAACAGGGTTTACCCAGACATGCATCTGCTGAGTTCTCACAAAACCTCCCGCTGTATTTGTTTGAGCACAAACACCCAACAGCCTGCGAGTCAGACGCAAAGAGCAAAGCTCAGATGTCGTTCTTCATCGATCGAGAATCCTGAAGGGAATGCTGAAGAATAAGCAGAAATTAAAAAGCACAAGAACCTGAAACTTTCCCTGCAGGTAGCTTCCAGCAGTGCTGTCGTAGAGGCAGGTTCCTCCGTTCAGGCAGCCGCAGACCTGCAGGGTGGGGGTGAACAAGGAGCTCGTGGACGAGCCAGTGGCCTTGATGGTCAGCTGGACCGGCTGAACGCTGTTGGGCGTCCATTTTAAAATTCCACTGACTGAACAAGGAAGCAGGAGGAAGAATACACAACAAGTAGTCAGTGTGTGTGTGTGTGTGTGCGTGCGTGTGCGTGCATGTGCGTGCGTGCGTGCGTGTGTGTGTGTGTGTGTGTGTGTCTCACCACTCCCAACAGTCGCCCCTGGAGGAGCGGGAGACAGCAGTGAGTAGGTGATGACGTCACCGTTCGGGTCCTGAGCAACAACTTGAACGCTCACGGAGGAGTTGACCTTAATCTGGATGGTTTTGGGCTCCGTAACAACAGGAGGATCGTTGCCTGCAGCACCACAGAAGGAAACGTCAGAACGAATATTAGTCAGCGGTTGATAATTTTACGCAAAGTTCTGTGAAAAAAAAAATGTTTACCGTAAATCTGAGCCAGAGTCTGGAACTGTGCCTCAGCATCCAGTGTTTGCTGGCCCAGGTCTGCGATCCCAGATGCTAGAGAGTCATACACACACTGCACACTCTCTTTACAGGCCTTCATCTGCTCCGCCACCAC